ATAAAACTATACGTGAACATTTTGTGTCTGTGAGTGTAAACAAAACTCTTTTGCTGTGAAATGTGAGTTTCCATTAATTATTATAGAAATACATGCTAAAATATTGTATCATTAAAATACTTTGTAGCAGTTAAGAAGTAAATATTAAATGTCTTGGGGAAATCAAAATATTTTGTAATGTTTTTTCTGTTATTATTTATTTATTTAGTGTTCTGTCTGACGACAGGTCCATATGAACATGATCCTTCCATCCTTTTCTCGGACTGGGACCTGTTCATATACGTTCTTGGCAGATGATCCAGAAGTGGTTTGCCATTGCCTTCTTCTGTGTGTGAATGGAGTAATTGTTGGGATGCAACGGAGGAAAACTCCGTGTTGCCTAGACCACGGCCTTGCCCAACAAAAGTTATAAATTCGAACCCGAGACCCCAGGATTACAAGACCAGCGTTCTAACCGCTAGACCACCACCGTGGCAATCAGGCAGTTACTTTTTATTATTTCAATTACGTGATCATTTCCTCAGTTTGTTGGCCAATTGGAAGATAGACTACAGTCAGATGTGATCCTTCTTTTTATTAATCGAAATTCGTTTTGTAGATTTCAGTTGTGTCCTTCCATTTGCCGCAGCGACTAAGGGACCTCATAACTTAATTCTTTAATTTTCTGTTACCTAATTAAAAGTTCCCACCCCCCCATATGAAATATAATCAGTCAGTCATTTACTAAGACAGAAAGCAAGATTTTGCCTTTTTCATCATTACTCAGAAATTTCTGTCACTGTGAGCTCCACCAGAGACTCACAAAATCAAGAAAATATCGAAACAGGATTAAAATATAGCACAGAGATCTCCAAACTGATTCTTAGCAACAGAAGGAAAACGAGGTCAGGTCGTGAGAGTGCCGTTGAGTTCCTTTCAGAATTTGTAAGTGGCGTTGAGTGTAGTAATTCCTTGCACAACGCTGCTAGTAGGCGCCCGGTTGAGCGAAGACAGCCCGCAACTCGCAGCGCAGGAGAGCAAACATTCTGATCACCTTACCGACAGGCATAAGGACTTTTGAGCGAGTAACGAAAGACAACAAAGCTGTTAGGGAAACTAACAAACAGAATCTATGTGTACAGCACAGCACAGCATGACGGAGCACACAAAGGGCGACTGAATGTCACTTATACAACACACAGTTGTGCTTTCATATGCACACAGCACACCTTCAGAATTCCCAAGGTTCAATATTGACATTGGCAGCTTCCTCGATAAATTGGTTTTATCGCTGAAAGGACTCAGTACGAAGTCAGAGGTCTCTTGGGGCACGCAGTTACGTCGCTTAGAAGAAACAGCTTTATCCCGGAATGCAGTAACGTATTAAATAGTGTGAATAATCGGAAATTAACGTGTTTTTGGTACCACGACTCGGTTCTCACTTCTTACTCGTATTCCTATCTAATGAAATTTATATAGGGTAATACAGGTAGACCTCGATTTACGCCGGGGATGCGTTCCTGGACGAACCGGCGTAAATTGAAACTCTTTTTATAATGTATATCAATGGGATGTCCCAGCACCCAAACATTTGACGAGTAATATAATTAAATTACATTTAAAGCTCTGAAATAACGTAAATAAAATAAAGGGAATTTAAAAAAATATATTTTACGCACTACCAATCGGCAATTCGTTGGTCCCCGCGATTGATGTGTACAGTCATCTCTGCTGTTATGCGATAGCTGCATTCATGTAAGACGCCGACCTATAGAAAATCGCGTAGTAAAAATAACCCCGGTACCTCCGCAGAGATTAAATTAGTCCTTCGAAAGTTTAAAGCACCAGGAATGAAATTGCATAAGAGAAAACTCGCATATGCAAAAGTTTGCATTTCACAAACAGCTTTTACCGATTCATCGATCTCACCGGAGCAAATTCGCGTTAACGAAAGAAACGTAATTGCAGAGATGACTGTGTTTATAATTTTTATTCAAAATCAGCGATGTAAGAATTACGATTTAGTATAAGAATCAGTACGAGATACATTGTAAAACGTTATAAATAATAGTAAAATATATTTTATTCACTTTCTGACTTGCTGGTTTCAAAATCCGCGTTATTCTGAATCGGCGCAAATCGAGGGCTATCTGTAAATGGCTGATATATTTAAAAAATTACAGCTATTTATTCTGACAATCATAAAACAAACGCAACTACACCTTGTGACCAAATGCAGTTATTTAATGTTGAAGCAGGTGATACCACTCTGTTTTAAGATATACGGAGAGTTGAAGGAAGACTGCCTTAAGTAATACAATGCGGAGCGACCGGAAACAAGATAAGATTTCTTTTGAACCCTACAGACCTGAGGGCCTAATGTTTAAAAAAATCCTTCGAAACAGACATCTATTTAGACATCAAACCTAACAAAATCACGAGTTAAATAAACAAATTTGATCACGTAATTACGCAGCCACAATATTGAAGAACCAGCAGATACCAACAAACGCATCCAGTTAGACACATCACTACAGTTAGCTACAGTTCCGGGAAGCTGTTGACTGACTGCCGCTTGTCTAGAATTACAATAAAACGGATTCTGCCTCAGCAAATTCCTCTCGGGAACACATTTACGACACAAAATCTGATATCAGCACAGTTTGTAACAAATACCTCGATTAAACGTCAAATTGCTCGCATTTCTCTTTCTCACGGATGTTAGGATGAAGATGACTGTCCTTTGTGATGTATCGTGAAGTTTTGGCCACATTTTACCTGATCGCCATTCCATCACATCACTGACTTGACGCTTGGCAAAATCCAAAATTCTTTTGTGTCCTGGTAAGGTGGTCCTAAGTACAGTCCATAGAAATTACGTCTGATTTAATGTTGTCTTAACGAGGACCAATGAAATTTCAGCTGTGGGTGTTTCTGCCCACTGTCAATGGCACAGAATTTTACCTTTGTTCTTCAGCAAAGACGTTTCAGCTGAACCTTCTTGCCGTCAAGAATGCTGTACCACCGACATACAGACCTAGAGCTTGCCGCTTGTTCTTGAACAAAGAATTTTTAGGTGGACGTTGATTTAAGTTTTGTGTGTCTGTAGAATTTTTAAGTCTGTTACTATAGCAGAACGTTCTGAGCTGATCCTTACTAAGTTCAGCTGCAGCTCGTCAGGAGCAATCCTCATGGACGGACGCAAAATTCTGTAGGCATTTTTCTCGCCAGAGCAGCTTTACGAGCACAGCAGATCACAGATGAACGAAGTCTCTTTCCATCCTGAGTGATGATAATATTTTGATATGAATAAGTTAAGTGCAGTTTATATAAAGATGTTAAAAAGTGCTTCTTTTTCAAAACAGGCACCTGAGAAGATTCCGACATTGATCATTTCGGTAAAATCGTATCCGAAACAATACGACAGACCGTGATGTGTTGGTAGCATAATTAGTCACCGCGACTCGCGACTAGGTGACTACGGAGGTATGACTTCAGACGCCCTAACCGGGAATTCTTTTCACAAGCTGTACCTTCCACATTTTCTTCTCAAACAAATATATAAATCATGACGGTGATCATAACTCATAAGCGTCTTGAGTGGATGTTCCAGTGAAAGATTTCTTCTTGTGTGCACTCAAAGCGAGTATATTGGCTGCGACGTGAATACTGAGGGCTGGGAAGGCGACGCCTCTACCCACAGCGGCCGTACCACGGTATTCAAATGTCTGTTCGCTCTTGACCACGGAGTGTCCATTTTCAGTCCAGCCACAGCGACACGGAATGCCGCGAAACTGGCGAATTTATAACTTGTGTTGGGCAAGGCCGTGGTCTAGGCAACACGGAGTTTTCCTCCGTGGCATCCCAACAATTACTCCATTCACACACAGAAGAAGGCAATGGCAAACCACTGCTGGATCATCTGCCAAGAACGTATATGAACAGGTCCCAGACCGAGAAAATGATGGAAGGATCCTGTTCATATGGACATGTCGTCAGACAGAACACTAAATAAAAAAAAAATTACAAGTGGCGCTATTATCGGTGCCAGAATATTGCAGGAAATTTCTAAAGTGCGATTTTAGGGTCGTTCAAAATGACATAAACTTTGTACCAAATTTCATCCAAATCCATCCAACGGTTCTCGAGGTAAATCACGTGGACCACGTACAGCGCATGATAGGTTCAAATGTCTGTGTCCATTTTCAGTCTAGCCACAGCGACGCCAAATGCCGCAAAACTGGATACAAACACTGGTATTTAGAACTAGGTGAAATGATATGTTCAAATCGCGACCCTTCGGCGACGTTCTTTGCTTTTCTCATTGATGTATAGTAAGTTCCACTCTTCGGATTTCAGAATTTTGAGAGGTATATCTAATGACAGTTCCCGGTTAAAGTCACTTAGCATTCAAGCGTAAATATTAAGATGGCTGTCTTCCGGTTTGTTGCGCCGTGTAGTCTGGTAGAAGTTTACCGACGTTTCAGAGGTCCTTGCAACCTCTATCACCATCTCTCATCGCCCTGATTATGGAGGCAGCAGGAACCCCTGAAACGTCTACGAGACTATGGCGCCCCTGAATACAGCCGTCTTTAAACTCGCCGCCATGAGAACGTGACATCTCTCAACAATTTAAATGTGTTCTCACGTCTGAAATTTTAGGTTCTCATAGCAAAGATGCGATCGTGTCTCTTGGCTTTGGTGCCGCGCGGCCATTAGGCAGGAGACGAACTGGGGTTTCGGATGACTACGTGGCGTCCAAAATTCAGGAAACGACCCTCAAATCGCAGCTGCAGCTACGTCGTTCGCCCGAACCTCGCATTTCGTGCAGAAAATCCGGAATTCATTTGATCGTAACAGCGAACAACATTCCTTACACATTTTCATCTCTGCATGAGATCTGAGGTTCCCATGTTTCGTCTCCTGAGTTGCAACGCCTTGTGGACTTGTAGGCGCGTGGATACCGACGTTTCGGAAGAACACGCCGCCTCCATCTGCAAGTCCACGTGGAACTGCAGCCCAGGAGACGAAGACCAGGGTGAGGATGGAATTTCTTGAACCACCGAGCGTGACTCGCGGGGATCGGTTTACTTAAACGTCATGACACAATTATCACGCGATGTTCTATTAATATTGCGGCCAGAATGATTAATCACAGCGTCGTAACAACAGACGCCTCCCTCCCTCCCTCCACTTTCCTTGTAGCAGCCAACACCTCCGAAAAACCCAACAACCGAGTCCCGTGAACAACAGTTGTTAAGAGTTTGACATTCGTCTAATTTACCGTCGTCTGGACCAATCAAAGCCATTCAGCAGCTGTTATTGTAGGTTAACGCTGCAAAATAAGGAAGGAATCGCATCCAACAATTACACCCGTTATCCTCACACGTGCAAGCTGAATGGGAAACATCACGCCACGGCTAAGACTGGAGCATTAGCCCCTTACGTCATCAGATGGGGTGACGAATGAGTAGGTCGGCGAGCGTTGGCAGTAGGACAGTCGCCAGCCGGCAGAGAAGTCGAACTGCAGGGTAGAACAGCGGTACGTGCCACACAGCTTTTCCGTGTTATAGCTGTAAGTACGGGTTTGCAACATGTGGGACGCACACCAATGAAACAAGAAAATGTCTGCAAATTTTTGTGTCTTTCTGACGACTCACGTTGGCTGAGTATCTATTCTACAAAGTTAGGAATTTTTGCGGTAAGGGTGGAACTTACATCGGGGTGGTTCTGCTATTTATTTAATGAATCGCGATTTCTGTAGGTAGTACTATATATACTACACAGCAACCAATGACAGGCTGACAGTGAATTACGAATTGGAGATTGTGTGGAAGGAAGCGGCTGTGGCCTACTTAAGGCATTGTCCCGAAATGCTCAGTGAGGAACGCGAATCGACAGTGGTAGGTTAGGTTAGGTTAGGTCGAAGTGCAAGGTAGAAGATTCACAGGTGTAGATGGCAGGCCTGTCACTTGGGGCACAGCACGCGTTCTTTTCTGAGGATTTTGGTGGCATTTCTGCGTTTCAGAAGTTGAACCGAGGAACGCCAGGCCAACCTTACAGCATGACGTCGTCAGCTTTCCCGCGTCTCTCCTAAGGAAATCAATCGTAAAATGACAACCGATTTCCGGGACCTTCCGAATACGACGCGAAAGCGCTCAGCAACTCGGCCACGACGTTCAGTAATTACCTCCTGAAACGATATTTCATGAATACCGGCTACTGATGTCGCCTTGAGCATCGGGCGGATGTCCGACACAGACTTGGCCCCAAGCAGCGCACAGCTTCTCCTCTCCACTCGAAAGGCCGACAGATTAATAATAGTTCCGTCTACGAAACGTACTTCGTGTTCTGTCTGCCTTCTGTTCGAGCATGTTTCGCGCCGACAAACATTCAGTGACTTCGCCCGAGAACAGCTGAGAAACGCGTGTCGAGTTATTCTTGTCCGATTTTGACCAAAACTGGAAAATGCAGACAGATTTTAGAATAAAAAAAAAACACGAAAATCCGTTCCGACACGTTATCGCCTATCTGAGTATTCCCCGGTGTCACGTACACTTACATCCGACGTTTCGGACGGCAGCTGTGCAGAGTGCGCATTCAGGGCGGCGTAGTGCCCTGTGACAAGGACCCACAACCACTTAAGACATGAACTGACCTTGGTTTAATTACATCGGCCTTGAACAGGGCACATAGCGCTGTGGTCTACTGTTGCATATCGCACGTTTCGAGATGCTGAGAAACGTCGACTAATCTCGCATCAGTCGTAAATTTTCGCTTATCTCGACCTGGAGAAGACCCCTCCACAAGGTCATCTTGAAATCCGTAGATAACTGCTTTAGTAAGCTGTACTAGTGCCTGAGATTCCCTATCAATCTTTCACGTGCTGGAGTCACTTATACATGTAAAAGCTGAGGGAAAGGGTCAAGGTCATCACCAGTGGTCAGGCTGCTTCCTCGTGCCTCTTACAAAGCAATTCATTCACGACCACTTGTTCGTCGTGTCCTTGATAACAAGCTCACCATTATCCTAGGAAATACATACACGCAGACACGCCATGTTGATAGTGACCACAAATTTGTTTCAGCTCAAAATCCTTGCCCTCCAGGAACGCAGGCGTATCATAACATAAAACAGCGCATTCGATGATAAGCCGGTGTGCGTTTATCACGAATTCTAATTACGAAAGATTCAACTCCGCCTTTTTCTAACTATAACGTAAGAATTTTACAATTTCTTACAAAAAAAAAATTCGCGGCACACGAGAACTTGCGATGGGACGGTTGTTATGGATGCGAGACCAGCAAAGTGTCGGGACCTAGGGCGTTATTATGTGGATGACTTCGAAGCAAAGCTGGAATGAGCAGACCGGAAGAACTCGGAGATACATTCATTTATTTATTCCAATGCCACTTCGTCCGGAACGAATCTCTGTTGAAGCCACCCGGGACTGAGATCTCGTATCCGCGGTGAAAAACCACCGCCTATTCGCCTGTCACGGAAATTACTGAAACACATTAAAACCTGTTATTTCATTACACTAATCACAGTCTCATTTTGTTAGCGCTTCGAGCGAGCGAGCGAGCTTTTGTCGACTCGACTAACCTAACCTAACCTAACCTAACCTAACCTAACTTAATCTAACCTAACCTAACCTAACCTAACCTAACCTAAGCTAAGCTACCCTAACCTAACCTAACCTAAGCTACCCTAACCTAACCTAACCTAAGCTACCCTAACCTGACCTGACTTAAACTGTGTGCGCGCATGATATCGCATCCCTTGTTGTCTTACTCCCGACCGACTGTCAACACCAATCACACCAATTGATGCAGGGGAAATGGTTCGTTGTCTGAGTAAAATGGCGCTGAAAGCTTGCACTATGAGTCAAGCTAATTAATCATTACAAACTAATCCTCTCATCATCCATTTCTTAACGCAGTGTCGTCGTGATCTTTGCAGACACATCACTGCCGCCGATGCCATGGCTCCAAACTCGAGTTCTGTCACCGAAGACAGAGGTGCAGGAGACACAGCGCATGCGCCACAGAACGAAAGGAGGGGCGCAGGCGCAGAACCATACCCGAACTACAGAACGGAAGTCGTGTGGCCCAATGTTGTTGTGCACGCTTATCTCAACTTGGCTGCCCTCTACGGAGCGTACCTGATGTTCACTTCGGCTAGGTTACCCACAGCTATATGGGGTGGGTGTGTTCATAATTGGTATAATCAGAAACTTGCTACAACTTTAAATACATTAATTGCTACAATAAAATATCTGCCGATGTCGAACGTAACAACAATCCTGTTTCAGCCTTCATCTTGTACGAGGCAGGGATCCTCGGCATCACGGCTGGGGCGCACCGCCTCTGGTCTCATCGTGCCTACAAAGCAACATGGCCGCTGAGGGTCTTCCTCGTGCTCTTGCAAACTCTGGCTTTCCAGGTACGACAACTCTCTCTCTCTCTCTCTCTCACGCGGCAGGAGCGCAGTGAATGAATGCGGATGTCTTCCGGGATGTTGAGCCCAGACAATTCGCCCTAATGACTATAGACAGGCAACAAGCACGTCCACGTATGTCAGGCCACGCGGCGCACCATACCGGAAGACAGCCATCTTCATGCACATCGGAATGAGGACGTGAGACCTCATTTAATTAAAACGCGACAAACGGCGAATATATATAAAGGACAATTTACATTGCGTTAAAATTTACATCTCAGACTGCGCCACAACGCAGTGGTGATTTGCAGCACTACCTGCTCAGTTTGAATCTGGTTTTGTTTCTCGAGATCTCCCCCAACTGCGTAACTTTCATCGCGTCCAATGACACGTGACTGATGTTAACGGATTGAAACGGACAGACAGACTTTTGTTTTCAAGTACGAAATAACGGAGAAAAGCACGAGAATTCCAGTAGCTTCAAGAATTGTAACATTAAAGTGAAGAGTTTTTTTATCTCTCTATTTTTTTTTTTTTTTTTTTTGCAGACTTCAGCGCACGAATGGGTTCGCAATCACAGGGTGCACCACAAGTTTAGTGACACAGATGCCGATCCTCATAACGTGAATCGCGGTTTCTTCTTCACCCACTACGGCTGGATGTTGACAAAAAAACATCCGGCTGTTAAGGAAAATGGCAAGAAGGTTGATTCTTCAGACCTGGATGCAGACCCCTTGCTTATCTTCCAAAAGAGGTCAGTATTATTCTGACTTCAACCAAAACGTTTATGTAGACGCAGAAGAAATTGTTCGATAAGAAATGAGGAACTGCTTTTCCACTGTACAAGGTCTTACTGAGCAGCCTGCATTAACCAGTTGCTTAAAGGTAAGTCCACGCTGCTGACGTTCGTGTTCGGGCTGCTGAGAAAATCCGTGTGTACAGGGGACTCTGCAGCGAACCTGTCGAGGCCATGGCTCCGGGCTTGGACTGTGGTTCGTGATATCGTCCACATTCACAGACAGCGAGCGTGAGCAGTGTGGACGGCGTAAATTGTGTTTGAAGGCATCGGTCAGTGGCCGAGCATACATCGCGTAAGATCTCTTACATGATCATTTTCTTTGCAGATACTACATGATTATCATGCCTATTCTGTGCTTCGTGATACCAACCGCAGTCCCTGTGTTTGTGTGGAACGAAACTTGGTCAAATGCTTACCACATCGCTGCTGTAATGCGACAAGTCATCACACTTCACATGACTCTCATCACTAACAGCGTCACACATTGGCCGGATACGTGGCGAAAAAGACCGTATGACAAGTAAGTACTGGAGTACACTTCGTCTGGATCAGATAACAGGACGATCGGTCTCAATTCGTCGTCTGCGAAGTCAGTTGCCTCTTGACGTGTGAACACAAGATGGTTCTTCAGGTCGAGAGTCTCGCGCACAACCTTCAGTGACACGCGTCATCCTAGCGTCTTCGATATAAATCTCCTTTTCTTTTTGTAAAAAAAAAAAATTGTCAGTGGAACCACGGTTCCGGAGAATTAGACGTAAATACGTCTATACGGAAAGGAAGTTTATATATTGGCTTTATTCTAAATATTTCCTTTATACAAGCTTTACAATTGAGATAAGTTTGATTAAGACATTGCTTATTTAACTTGAATTAGTTACGCTTAAGATGGGTCTGTGGTAGCTGAATGTAATGTAATGTAACGTTTCCTAGGTAACCAGGTTACACTTTTTCGTTTCACTTTTTTGCCGAATGACCCTCCCTTATAGATGTATTTACGTCAAAAAAAATTGCAGGCACATCCCTTACACGCACGTATCTAATTGGTGAGGTACTGCTCCTTGTAATATCAAAAGTTTCATATTTCATTTTAATAATCATTGGAGTTATATATTACAAACGCGATCCCTGCATCAACGCCCCGTTAATTTCAACGGGCAGGTCTTTTCTTCCGCGAAATCTTCTGTTCTATGATGACACACATGTTCACGCCGTGTTCCTCGTCTTCATTTCTAAGAGACGTTTTTGTTCCTTGCAGGAGGATCTGTCCGTCAGAGAACTTCTTCGTCTCCTTACTGACGCTTGGCGAGGGCTGGCACAATTTTCACCACGTGTTTCCCTGGGATTACAAAACGTCTGAAATCGGGTACAACCGCATCAACCCGACCACTCACTTCATTGACTTCTGCGCGCGCATCGGGTTGGCCTACGACCTGAAGACAGTGCCGACGTCGATGGTCAAGAGGCGAGTTCAACGCACGGGCGACGGCACCCACGAACTCTGGGGCTGGGGCGACGCGGACATGAGCGAGGCGGAGAAGAAGATGGTCCAGGTCGTCAACGAGAAGGCGACATAGCGAGGAGCACATCGCCGTTTGTGAACGAAAGACGGAAACAAACAATCTGGTGACGGTTTGGTTTTCACGAATGTTGCTACAGGCACGTCTCTGTCATAACGCTAGTAGCACCTCTGACCCCACTGTATCTAAAACTCTGGTGAAGGAGAAAAATACACTTTCTACTGAAGTGCAACCATCCGAGTCTGGACTTGGCTTTTATTTAATTTAGAAGATGTCCGATTTGAAAAGTACAAGCCCTCTTGGATTTTCCTGTCCCTAATCCGTTCTGGGTTCAAGTCATCCCCACATCACAAACTAACAAAGACTGGACAGTCGGACACTTACAGCCCTAACCCACCTTGAAGACGGCAGTTAAGGTCGAAACACGTACTGCAGGATGATACAATAAAATGTGTGTAGACAATAATAATAATTGCAACTGTATTTATCGCACACCAGGATACACATCGTAAAATTACAAATCCACAATGAAAACAAATGTTCATCACCTAAAATCAATTTTCATTTCATTTCATTTCACAAGATTCAGACTTCAGTTTACTAATCTTTCTTACTAATTACAATCACAGTTTCAGTTATTGGCACACGTTTAAAGTATGGTGTTGCCATAACAACCACCTTGCTTTTATTCAGATACTCCAGGCAAATGCCGGGATAGTACCTCAAATCAGGATCAGGGCCGCGTCCTTTCTGAGTCATTATTCACCGTCGTCTTGTCATCCGACGCTTTCTGGTACACGTACTGAAAGCGTCCTTGAACAAACCATGAGGACGGAAAACGCGTTAAGAATGTCTCAGTCGACTCTCATACAAAGCCGGAGGTGAAGACTTCGCGTTCTTCACCTTCACGACACCTTCCAGAAAATTTTAAAAACTTCAAAACAAACTCGCAAATGACATTGTAGGCTGTTTCACGTTACGGAATTTTCCATGCAAAGCGCCTGGCACGTGAATATACGTCAATACGTAACAAGTAATGTACGAAGTAAGTTTATCCCAAAGGAGGTTTCTGGAAACATTTGACTTCGGTATATCATACAGGGAGCCACGGTGGTCTAGCGGTTAGAACGCTGGGTTCTCGGGTTCGATTCCCGGCGGTGCCCGAATTTATAACTTGTGTTGGGCAAGGCCGTGGTCTAGGCAACACGGAGTTTTCCTCCGTGGCATCCCAACAATTACTCCATCCACACACAGAAGAAGGCAATGGCAAACCACTGCTGGATCATCTGCCAAGAACGTATATGAACAAGTCCCAGTCCGAGAAAAGGATGGAAGGATCCTGGTCATATGGACCTGTCGTCAGACAGAACACAAAATAA